TCAAAGTGATGTAATACATGATCATTTTCCCTTGTAAAAAAAATCACCCACTTAACGCTAATAGCAAATTTAATTTATTTTTAGTTCTAAAAGAGGTTAAAAAGGTTAAAAATGCGTCTAATAACTCATAATATGCTACAATGCCATGTAAAAGGCTGCAACACAAATAATTTTCCCTTGGAATTATCAGAGATAGAATACGAGTTGCAGGAAACGGAATTTAATCCACAGTTTCTACGAAACTTTGTGCCGAAATTGGAATGGGACGCGTTGGTTAGAACCGCAATGAAGGTTTGGATATTTTCTAAATTTTTTAAAAGCGACCTCTCGTTTAAAGCTTAATTTTAAAAATTTGTTGGATAGTCTAAAGTACCTTTGTTATGGTAAATAGCTTGGCATCACAACCCTTCCAGATAAATTACCAGACACACCGATCCAAGAGATCGATGAAAAGTTTCTGAAAGATCTTCATAGGGTCTTACTCGAGGTGATATTCTTCTTCTTTGGTTAGAATAAATTTACGCGTTCTTTTTTTCTTTTCGATCATCATTAACAAATGAATCTTTATTTAGACACACATACAACAAGGGAGAATGACGTGTCCTAATTGTCAGCACGTGTATCCAATAAAAGACGGGATACCGAATATGTTATTGAATGAAAATGAAGTATGAAAATCAAACACCACGAGTCACCATAATAATAGACTACCATAATAATTCGAGACAACGCGAGATTTTTATTTATTATTTTGATAGTCATGGGAAAGATGATAAAAATAGATATTGTAGTATAGTTAGTTAGCATTATTAGAACATTGAGAATAAATAAGCGTTTGCAATTAAATTTCAAAAAATGTAATTCTCAAAGTGGTATAACCACTTCATTAGTATCAATAATTCTGGGTGCTTGATATCTAAAACAGAAAAAAAAAATAAATTTAAAAACGCATTTAAAAAAGGCACAACAATATATCAAATGCTCACCCAGCCTCTTTATCTAATCCATGTATCGCATCAATTGACAAATGAACAGTAATTGTAGGAATCAATTGACTACTTTGATTATTAAAAATATTAAAAATAGAATATTATATATTTTATATATATAATATATATCTCTCATCTTTAAATTAAAAAAAAAAATGAATTTTATTCTATATCTTGCCTCTTCTTTTTCTTCTTGGTCTTCTTTTCTTTTCCGGTCATTGCTTCTAAATTATATTTACTTGATGATGATGATGACAACGAATCTTGAGTGCCCTCACATCCAATTAAAGTATACTGATGTACTTGATACTTCATTATTCGTTTTATGATCTCGACGATTGAACATGTTCTTGTGACTGCCTTTCCTTTACCGTGTATTGTTACTATTCTATTGTTATTGCTGCTATGGTTATCACAGTTATCGTTATCTTTAGTGATAGTGACCATTTCTAATTCCGCTTCATCAGTTGTTTGTTTTTTGCTAGCGTTGATATTTTTATCCCTATAATTATTAATTTCCTTCAAGAAATTAAAATATTAAACCCCTCAAATCTTTACAGTTCCCCAAATCAAAAGAAATGAAAAGTCACAATAATAAAAAAAATCGTTACTTTATCCAATTCCATTCGATCCATGAAATCAGGGGCAAGAACTTCCAATGCACCCTTAACATATCCTTTGATTTTTCCACCTAATGTTACCTTCATAACTTTTTGTGCATCAATGATCATTGATTCGGTATTCGATTCTCCTCCTTTTTCATCTATGATCAATGTGGCTTTTTGAGGTTTTTTTCGCTTTTTTGTAGGTGGCAGTTCGACAGGCTCTTCATGAATTATGTACAAGGCATTAATAAAAATAGTAAATAAAATGTTTTATTGTATAAATACCTTGTCGTGTCGTTTTGAGCATAGTTTTTGCGGTGTTCGCTTCAGATCATGTGCCTTAGATGCTTTTTTAAATTTGGATTGGCAGATCTTCGTTAATGACTATCCTTTTCAAATTTATGCTAATTCGTGTTGGTGAAGAGAAAAAGGAATTTCGTGCACATTCTATTATTTTGTGCGTTCATTCATGTTATTTTCAAGTTGCACTTTCTCCTGTATGTCTAAAAAACAAAATGGCAAATACTTGTATTATACTTAAAGAAAAAAAAACTGAAATTCTTGAAACTTGATTTGATATTATTAAGTTTAGAAAAAGTTTAATCAAAGAAATTAATTAATGATAGCTAATTTAATTATTAAGTAGTTAAAACTAGAATTTTTCAAAATAACTATAATTTTTATATATATTTATAAATTAAGATTCATATTTTCAGATCTTTTACTTATCAGATATTAATTTTATATAAATTCAATGTATTTATAAATTATTGATCTTTAAAATACATGAAAAGATCAAAAAGATAAAGATATTTATAAATAATCTTGAAATTATTAATAATATTAACATTTATAGATTATAAATGAATTGTATAATTTGAAAAAAGATAGTAAATTATCAAATAATTGAATTAAGAAATCTTTTCTAATTCAAAATGATAAGATATATTATTAATAAATAGCAAAATATAATAATTTGCAATAGTAAAATTTTCATTTAGTAAATGATGCCAAGAAAAAAAAATGATAAATTATATTTATACTTTTTATTGGTATAATATTCTACTAGAAGTAAAATATAATTTATATTCTTTAAAAATTTTAAAGTATTATTTCAATAATAAGTAGTTTTAATTTTTCAGAACTAATTAAATTATATTCTAAAAGTATTATAATTTAAGTCTTATCTTTTTTATATTCAGAAATATTTGATAAGATATAATTAAATTAAATTTGCTATTAGCGTTAAGTGGGTGATTTTTTTTACAAGGGAAAATGATCATGTATTACATCACTTTGA